TTTCTTATAGATAAAATAATATATATATATATTTGTAAAATTATCATTAACATCATCAAGAACTTTAATTACCTTATTCAACTTATTACTTATTAAATTATGAAAAATAATTTTAATTAAAGTTAATTTTTGTAAAAATAATTAATACGAAGAAATATTTTAAGATGATTCTTAAAAAGATCGGGACATTAAAAAAGGATAGAAAGGAATGTATTTCATAAATTTTTTAAACAAGAGTAAATTTTTAAAACACAATAAAAATTTAGATTTAATTATGCTTTTGGTTCTTTTGTATATATATATATATATATTCACTTTAATTTGATTATATATTTTTATAAAGATTAAATCGTAAAATTTATATAATTTATAAGAAGAAAAAAACAAAAATTAAGTATGTTTTTTATGCATAAAAAAAAGTATAAAAATTAGAATAAAATATTTTTAATTATAAGAATTAAAAAAAAAGTTACAAAAGTATAGAGTAATTAAAAAAAAAAAAAGATATAGAAAGAGAAATATGAAAATATCTAAAACGATTGAATTAACTTTGCTTATGTGGAGTGCACTAGGGAAAAAAGCGAGACTCATAATTCAACGCTATACTAAATTGATTCCTTGAATATCTGTGAATCCCTGAATGGTCACTGCTCAGCACCTTTTACTCGCACTCTACGCCGGAATTAATTAACAATCCATTTTCGTTATCCAATTCCGACCAGAGGCAGAGAGGCATGGGTCACCAACACTCCAAATTGTCAGAACCAAAAGAATCGCGTCGCGCTCGCTTCAAAGAGCGTCTGCGTCACCACTTTCGCAGCCGCAGAAGTGGTAACAGTAATGGCTCTTCCGGCCACAAGCTCCTCTCCGCTGATAACTTCGCCGGAATTGCTCTCCTCGCCCTCCTTCGCGTACGCGCATTACTATTTCTTTTTAATTTTCCTTTTTTTAATTTCTAAATTAACAGCTTCTGTTGTATTGCAGGCGGAGATGAAGTTCAAGGATAAATGGATTGCGTGCGTTTCTCTCGGGGAACAGACTTTTCGCACCAACACTTCTGACCAGTTATGCTCTTTGCCTTACCACTGCTTATCAATTATGCTTCATCATTCTGTTTCTGTCAAAACAAAAAGAGGAAAAAAAAAAAAAACAGAGGATATTCTGTTGTGGTGGTGTTTTTATTTAGTGGTTCGTTCGTGTATTGATTTTGTGTTATTGATGGTGCAGCACAGACAAACCGGTTTGGAACTCAGTGAGTGCTCTATGCCATGACATCTTTTTCGCTACTGGTTTTCCATTAAGAGGAGTCTTGCGAATTGACGGTTTCGAATTATGTTTGCTTACGTTGTTGGTTATATAAGTGACTGGAGGGAACCTGTTTGAGTAATTGAAGGAAACTAACATTGTGTTTGGTTAAGAGGAAATGGAAGGGAGAGGAGTTGTAGGGTGTGTTTGGTCTGTAGTAGTCACAGAAAGGAGAAGCTTGTGTCTCGTTGCTTTGGGTCAAATTGATGTTTGAGCATTTCAAACGTAAAAACAAACACACTGATAAGCTTTTGCTGTTTAATTTAATATTTAGAAGGAGAGGAGTGGAATGAAGGGGAGCAAAATCTCTCCTATTAAATTTGTGCTCCCCTCTAATATTTGGAGGGGAGGTAAGAGAATTTAAAACATTTTGAGTATAATGTCTAAAATATCACTACTTATGTTTTAAAGTTCAAAATTATAAGAATGTAAAGGTAAATAAGTTTTTAAAATTCCTCCATTCCCTCCTTTGACCAAAATGTTCCTAAAACATCTCGAGGAAAATAATGTGATTTAGTATCGTTTAGTTTTCTAGGACAAAAGACTTCTGCATAAATGATTTAGTTTAAACATATGTGTGGTTGTTTTAACTTGCATGGATATAATGCAAGATAAGTTCGGATAATTCCTTTTAATGCGAGAACATGAATTAAGTCAGGTTAAGGAGTGTATCTGAGAATTAATTTCTAAGGGGAAAAAGGATTTGTTTTGTTTTCAGGTTACTCAGTTCAGTTTCATCTGTGATATTTTAGGAGTGATCATTTTCCTGATGCTTGATGAGTTTTGAGTGGATGATCCAGTAAATAGGACAGTTTTCTTTTATGTGACCAGTATTTTCTTCTACAGGAAAAGAAACTTCTTTTGGAACAGAGTGGGGCTCATGTTGCAAGAATTTCTGTCTTCGAGGTATGCTAGAAGAATTAGGAATCTTTTAGTGTTTTCTTTGATTATGAGTTACCCTCAAGCAATTTTTGGGGAGAATGTCACTTTTTCCAGACTAAAATAAATGCTGTTTGTTTGGATATTTTGCTGCATTTCAACAGCAATTTTTTTTTTTTCAATCTATGTCCTAGCAGGAAAAATATGTTATATAGACTAAAATTTTTAAACTGTTTTCATTCTGCATCTCCTGTCTCCTAATCTTTTTGCAATTGTTTAACTTTAATACTGCATCTAATTTTAATATTTTTTCTTATGTAGACCAACAAACTGTCCAGCAATACCCTTGTTGGATACTGTGAGGTTGATCTACTTGAATTTCTGACCAAGGTGAGGAAACTTTAAAAGAAATCACAGATTTTAGAATTATTCATTTATTGGCTTACTCCATGCTGTTTCAGTATTATTCATTTTACACACTTTTGTTGTGAATGATATGAACGTGCAGGATTCTGATTCTGACATTGAGATATTGGATCTTTTAGATCCATCAGTACCTGGAAAAGTGGTTGGCAACATTTCCATTTCATGCTCTGTAGAGGTATATCACTTATGAATTATTATATAAATTATATTGTTGTTTGAGTATAATAAGGATTTTCTAACAATAATGAGTTGAAACTAACAGGATCCAATTGAAACAGAGAAAGGCTTTGTTAGACGTATTTTATCTATAGTGGTAAGTTTGATCTTCCTCTGCTTTCTGATAGCTTGTGCCTAACGTGGGCTTAAATAAAATTCATACGAGGTTAACAGAATTGATGATGTATGGTATTTTTCCTTCACAGGAGGGTACTTTTATAGTAATATTAAACCAATATTGTGCCAATGATTGTTACTGAGACCTCGTTTCAGTATTAACACACATTCATAACATGTACAAATTTCATTGCTAGTTGAATATTTCTAATCTGCGAATCTTGGAAAGTACCATACAGAATTCATTGTTGTCTTGATAATTTAAATGTACTGATTTCATGTAGCACTCTAATATTTAATATCAACCTGAGAAGTGATGCTTTATGCAGGACTACAATGAAGATGGGATGCTTTCACTTTCTGAATTTTCTGACCTGATTGATGCTTTTGGCAATCAAGTTGCAACCAGCAAGGTTCATACATGAGTAGTTATTTTACACTTTGTGTTTCTATTCTTTTTATTTTTGGATTATTTGCTTGCTAAAATATCTTTAATTTGCCTGTGTACCTGGATTTGGATTTTTTGTACGTCTATTTTCAGATTCTATGGTTTATATAAACTAATAACATATTGAATGTTAGAATTTAGAACCTTAAATTTGGTTATATTGAAGTCCAAATCTTCACTACAAGCTGGTCTGGGACTCATGGTTGAAATAGTGAATCGTTACCCTGTGAATCTTACAATATAATATCTAGTTTTATATATACACAAGTTTTACTGTATCATCAATACATATTTTTTTAAACAGAAAGAAGAGCTTTTCAAAGCAGCTGACAAGAATGGAGATGGTGTTGTGAGCATGGACGAGTTGGCCTCCCTTCTTACTTTTCATCAAGAACAGTAATGACCCATCTAAATTACAAGAGATAAAAAATTAAATTTTGTATACCTGTCGATGTCTTTTTCTATAAGTGCAGTCGTATTTACTAATTTAATTGGTATCCTTATATAATTTGTTAAGATTTGATAATGTATAATTATAGAAGTGTTTGTCTTTGAAGACTTGAAGTTTGTGAAGTTTGAAATTTGTTTGATTCTTATTTGCTTAGCTAGCTTCTGTTATTGCAGGGAACCATTATTGAATTGCTGCCCTGTGTGTGGTGAGGTTCTTAAGATTTCTGACCTGTTGAACAGCATGATCCACTTAAGTCTTTGTTTTGATGAAGGGACTGGTAACCAGGTGATGGCTGGAGGGTTCTTGACAGATAAGCAGGCTTCGTATGGGTAAATTTCTGCAAATTGCTGCTAATTTAGGCATTAATGAGAGACAGGGTAAGAGAGAGAGAGAATCTTTATTGACTTAAACCCCAGTTTTTTAGTGCCATATGTATGAACTATGGTTATGTATTTATGATTTGTATCACAAGAAAATAAAAATGACTTGTTTCTTTTTCTGTTTATCTAGCTGGTTCTTCAAATTGAGTGAGTGGGCCCATTTCTCATCCTATGATGTTGGTATTCGATCTGGATCAAGTGCATCCCATATTCTGGTATATGATATTTTCCACCAATTTCCTCTTCTTATTTAACAATCTGAGTACATTTATTATGATACATCAGTCATGAATGTATGGTTCAAATTATATCAGGATGTACAGGATCACTTTGAAATTCCTTCTTTTCGTTGCTAATGACCGAGTTTGCTCAATCACATCCCCCATAATTAGTAGGAAAGCTTCCAGGCTTATTTACTAACATATATCAATCCTGGAAGTCGGCACCTTTTTCATGCTATTACCAAATATCAATATTTCTCTTGCAAATCATTTTTTGCAGTCTTGAGAATTTGAATTCTATTACTATTGTCTTAACATCTTCATCAAGGCAGAGAATTAGAGATATCCTTAGGGTATGTTTGTATGTTGGAATTGGAATTTCAGTTTAGAATTTTAATTTCAATTCCAATTTTGCCTTTAAGCATTATATTATGCAAAGAATTAGACGTAGAATCAGAATTTCTAAAATCGATTCCAAATTTCTAATTCAACAGCATTGATAGTGAAATGGTAGCAGGGGTGGTGTTGCAGTGGGGACGGCAGCAATGGAAGTAGGGATGAATGGGATGTTGGCAGTGGAGTCAGCAGTAGTAGAAATAGGGAGCGCAATTGTTCAGTTTGGGAGTGAGAAATTGACAATTTTTAAGGTGTGGGTTAGGAGTTGGAAATGACTCAAGTTAGTTACTATGTAGTTCCATGGAATTGTAATGCAATTAGGATTTTAATTGAAAAAGAATTTCCAACATAAAAATTATAAGTAATACGACCAATTCTGATTGCATTCTCCAATTCTATGGCTCAATTCTGGTAATTTAAATCCTATATTTGTACCTTATCACCCTCTCAACTTGTTATTTGATATTTGTTAACTTTAAATTATTTTTGACATCAGGTATATGATCGGAAGTCTCAAAGGCTTGTTGAAGAAATAATTGACAAAAAGATTGTTTTGTCAATGAGAGCCATTTATCAGTCAAAAATAGGTCTTGGCCTAATGGACATAGGTATGAGTTCCTTTTTTTGTTTTAATAATTGAAAGAAGCTTTAGGCCCACTCCCTATTGTGGGCCTAGTGGAAATTACAGAGGTGGTGTTGTTAGTAGAGTTGATGCTATAAAAATATTGCTGGTTAAAAATCGCTGTATAGATATGTTAGATCTAGCTGACATTTGTTTAAGCTGACTTGGTGCGTTATAAGTAGATTAAGAATGATGATAAGTTCAATTAATTATTACAAAAATATTTATCAAAATGCATCCTTCTGGCATTTGGGTCACACTTGAAACCTGGGTTTTTTAGCCAATATGAGATCCAAAATGGATTTGAATAATTTTTTCATTCTTTATTGAGTTACTTTATGTATTTACATCATTGAATGAATCATATGCAGGGGTGAAGGAGCTCTTGCAAAGCATTTCTGAAAAGCAGGGAGCACGAATGGATTCACCTGAATCGTCTGCAGATATACCAAAATTTATTGAATCTTTTAAGGTGTAACAAAGCTTCTTTTAATTCTTTATGAATTGCACATTTTGACTTTGTCATGTCCTAGGAACATGTGAGTATGTAGTTAGGTGGTGCCTCTTGATTCTGAGTTTGGACCAATTTCATTCATTATGGTACCCCTTATTTCAATATTGTGGTTTCTTTTACAAGTATAGAGACGCAGCCCAAGTAGAAAAACAATAATAACATGAAAGAAAGGAATATTGAGTTAGCAAATCTACAACATCAAACACCACAGAAAACAAAGAACTAGGAAATTTTCAACCTGTTTATTAAGTAAATGATGGTTAAGAGGAACTAAAGCAGCCCAGATACTCATTTTGATCTTGCAAGCATATTCTGTATTTTAAAACAGAAGGATGTTGCTTTCCCTCTACAATTAACATACTTAAGTCCAGCTGGTAGCATTTTCCATACTGCAAGACATTGTCCATGCCTAACTTTTTTACTTGCGAACCATAATAGCCACTCTTGCCATGAATATGATATGAAATATTAAATGAAGGATTAAGCGTCATATGGCATATTTCATCCCATTGACAATGAAATAGAAAATGTCATTATTCTGATCATATGGCATAGTACATAAACATACTAATCAACAAAGCAATAGAAAATGACGATTCTATGTATATAATACAAGCACCATCGACCCTAGACAATCATGTATAACGTTAAGTGTGTATGAAGTGTTAAATTCCAAATTTTTGTTGTACGAATGTATTTCTTAATGTTGAAGTATTTTCTGAACTTATGTTTGTTGATTATGTTCATTAGTTTTTTTACTTCTCTTGAGTTTCAATGAATAGTTAAAATAGTTATTCTCTAAAATAGAGTAGGATACCTATTTTTTTTTCCCAGCACACTTTCTATTTTTTTGCTTTAGTTCTTTATGTGCTGCACTTGTGTTCCTATAATTACTCCCTTCTTATAAAAGATGTAACTATTATGTTGTAGGATCAAATCAATTTGGCTGAAGTCAAGTACCCCCTGGAACACTTTAAGGTGGGCCAAACTCTGTAACGAGGTTTCGTTTATATGTTATTGATATTGATGCATAATTAATTGGTCCTGAACACACTTTTTGACCCTGTTTGCTATTTAGAATGCTTTACGAGTTCAATTTATTTATGCTGAAAACTAATGGTGTTTCATCATATGCATAGTCTCATGTCTTAATTTTAATAAAGTTAAACGTTATATGCTGCCGATTCTAGTTAAATATATCTTCTCTATTGATCCCAGAATAACTTGATCTAAAGGGGTAACTGAAAGAATATGTTTATATTGAGCTAGCAGCATACATTTTTGGTTGTACAAACAATTAGAGAGAAGGTGAATGAAAATTTAGAGCAATGCTCATGCTGAAATGAATGTAGGACTTTATAATGGTTGTGATTATCTCATTAGATAACACTTATCTTGAATTATGTTCTGGGCAGACGTTCAATGAATTTTTCATAAGGGAGTTGAAGCCTGGTTCAAGACCAGTTGCTTCTGCTGAACGTGATGACATTGCTGTATGTGCTGCTGATTGCCGTCTAATGGCATTCAATTCAGTTAATGATAGTACAAGATTCTGGATCAAGGTATTTGTTTTTTGGTGTTACATATCTTGAATTGCACATGATAGGCTTATGATCTCAAAAATGCAAATTTTTAAAAATATTTTATAACCAAGTTTTGAAATCTGCACTAAAGACATGTATCAGTCAAGTTAGATACTATCTGATTGATACAAAGCAAATTTTTTCAGCTTGGAATTAAATATAAATGATAAAATTATAAATTTACTCATTTGGGCCTGTTGACTCACCTTACTTTAGGACAGAGGTGTGGGGGGAGGAATTGGTTTTGCAAATATGAGATTATGATCTTAGGTTTGTTTTTGTCATGCTGTTGTTGTGCACTAAATCAAACTTGAGAGGTAAAATCAAACAATTTAGCTGCTTGAACAATTTTTAATGTCGAAATACCGTACTGTTTGTGGCAACAAGTAACTACTACTATGTTAAACACCTTTTCTTTATGATCTATTTATGTTTCATCTTCTTTTGTTTCAAGGGGTTATACTATAATATTAAGCAAAGATCATTGTTGAAATTGTTGCTAGTTAGAGGCAAGAAAAATTAGATACCCTAAAATATTGGGATATCTCTCATTCCCTTGTCCTTTAATCTTTTTATCTTCATACGTTTATGCCAAACAAAGTGCTTTTGAGATTATTTGTTACTACTTTTAGGGTCGAAAGTTTTCGGTTCAAGGCCTTTTGGGGAAAGAAATGTGTTCCAGTCCTTTTGTTGATGGAACAATGGTGATTTTCCGTTTGGCACCACAGGTATTTGTTGCTTTCTTTCTAAGTCATTTAGTTTTGTGTATAATTTGATTTCAAATTTTAATCTTAACATATATTTATTGCAGGATTATCACCGTTTCCATTTTCCAGTATCAGGAATTATTGAGCAATCTGTAGATATCCCTGGATGCTTGTACACTGTACGTGTAATAATAACTTGAGGAAAATGATATATATATTCTGTCTATTTTCTTTCTGTTAATTCTCATTTGCATTTCCCCCCTATTGTGTTCTACTCCTCAGGTCAATCCCATTGCTGTAAATAGCAAGTACTGTAATGTCTTCACGGAGAACAAGAGAGTTGTTTCCATAATTTCAACTGTAGATTTTGGAAAGGTTGGTCTTTGCAATTGATTTCTGTCTGAATTTTTTAGTTTATGATTATGATTTATGACTATATCCTGCTGAAACTTCTTGCTATACGTTGCTGAAATGTTTTCTGAGTTACCTATAGCTTACTATCTCTACTACCTTTTAATTAGACCTATATTGACCAGTATCTTATAATTTGGATTCAGGTGGCATTTGTTGCAATAGGAGCTACAATGGTTGGTAGCATTAGTTTTACAAAGAAAAAGGGCGACAATGTCAAGAAGGGAGATGAGGTTTGGCAAGTTACAGTTGATTACCATTTTTCGCATCTTATATGTTGTCTTTGTTTCTGAGTGGTATTTGTTTGCTTAATTTTCAGTTCGGATATTTCTCATTCGGTGGAAGCACTGTAATTTGCGTTTTTGAAAAGGTTGGTATTATAATTGGTTATACTGTTTATCTTTTTTTAGTCTTATTGTAAGAATGTTGGAAATTTATTTAGTTGGATATGGTCCTGATTCCTGATATTGCTGACCTTGATTTATATGTTTGGTATGATCTCTGTCTATGGGGCACCAATAATTCATGCCATTGTATATACGTATGTTTCATGGTCATCACATTATGATCTCTGATTCACAGTAATTTGTTTTGTATAAATCATATAGTATCTAGCTTTTGACTGGTACATGTCTTTAAACTAAGCTCTGCATCTGCATGCATGCTCCGTGGCATTTCTATTTTGTAATGGCCAAACTTTACAATGTGATGAGATTGACGGGGATGTCACAAATGATTTTTTAAAATTCCACTCTTGATAGGATTGTACAAAATGTTGATGGAAAATTGATGTGTTCTCACAAGCTATATGGTTTTATTGATAATTTGTATTTTTATGACCTAACCGTTCAACTAATAAATAAATATGAAATCATAAACCTTTACAGTAAATCAGGATGTAGAGAGAGGAGAGGGAAATCTCTCACTATTTTTCGTAGCTGAAAATATATTTGCGTATAGAGCCAGTTAATGTTTAATGATTATTCCTGTTCGAATCAGTTGTGCAAAATTCTTAAAAAAAATTAATCTATATTAAATTTTGACATATTAAGAAAATGACATTACTGAAGTGCACTATTTCTTTAAGTTACAGTTGATGGTAAATATACAATTGAGGTTAAAAAGTATAGTTTTTCCAGTACAATAGTTCAATTTGCTTCCATTTCGAAAACTTTATCTTTACTTAACTTATAGCTTTGTTTGAGATTGTTTATTCCTATTGAGATTGGAAAATGTGCACGCAGTAACATCCTTTTTACCCCTCCGCAGAACTCAATTGCACTTGATGAAGACCTTCTAGCAAATAGCACGAGATCACTGGAAACCTTGGTTTCCGTAGGAATGAGATTGGGCGTCGCTACGAAGAAATTGTCTTGATATTGGATGACTAGGAATTGTTGAAATTGAATACTAATTTCATGTCATATTAACATCATGGTAGATGTTTTCCCAATTTGTAAAGTAAACATTTGTCAACTCTTGCTGGCTCTATGTTAGAATTGTCCGGTTTGATCTATATATAAATTTGGGGAAAGTTTAGCCTTAATCATGGGAATCGAAAACTAAGAATAAAAGTAACCCAAAAGAAAAACTGTTCATAATAAAATATATTAAAAAATAAAATAAATTGCATATTATTAATTTCAATATATTAAACATGAATGATTATCTTATATTTTTAAAAAATTTCTTTAACGAGTGTTTTTAGAGATTTTTTTAATTTTTTACATAATTCAGTTTTTATTTATTATAATTATTTATAAATTAAATTTATATATTTAAAGTAAATTATAAATAAATAAAATAATTTGTGTTATGATTGAAATTAATTATAATAAATATAAAATTATATAGTAAATGTAACATGTATATGTAATTTATTATAAATTATAATTTTAGTTATATATAATTAACATTTAACTTAGGAAATACACAAATTAAAATACTCGTTATTTTATTTTACCTTATTAATACAAAATTAGTATTTTAATCTTTACAATATACATGCATATATTTATTATATATAATTAAAGTTATAATAAATTACATATGTAGTGAATAATAATAGGTGGCATATTAACAATGGTAAGGAGGCTAGGTTTTGATTGGATGTGTGGCTCCCATAAGGGGATATCATGTTTGACGTGGCATTTCAAAAACATCTATCCTTGAAGAGTAGTGTCGAATATGTGAATATGATACTAGGTATGATAATTGGGATATTATTTATTTAAAGAATTTCCTTCCTTTAGCCATGTTTCGGGTTCTACAGGCTTACCTAACCTGGGGAGTTCTTAATGGTGATTATTAGTCCTCTTGGGGTCCTTCTTCGGATGCCAGATTTTTTGTGAGATTTGTAATGCTTCTAATAGCCATATTCTTAGAGACTGTTTACTTGTGTGTCATATCTAGTTGAGCAATGGAATGGAGTTTGACAAAAAAAATGAGTGAATTTTTCAATTCTAATGTTAAGGAATTGATCTTGAGGAATACTTGTGCAAATTCAAATAAGTGAAATTTGATGTTTGGTATTATCCTCTGGTCCATTTGGTAGGATAGGAATTCTCTAGTTTTTTTAGATATAAATTGGAATACTAAGGGGATTATTTAGAAGGCAAAAGGTTTAGCAGAGAGATAGACATACTGTCACTCAAGCAGTTGATCAACCTAGTGTTTGTGTTTGGACCCTTCCTCTCCTGGGGTGGATTAAGATTAATGTGGATGGGTTGTTTAGTGAATGAGGCATTTCTTCTAGGTGTGGGAGAGTGTCTTGTGATGAGTGGGGTCATTGGTTGTGGGGATTTTGTAGGAAGTTGAATCCTTGCTCTGTTTTGGATATTGAAATTTGAACTATCATTATAGCTCTCCAGCATATTTGATAGGTTGAGTCAAGGAGGATTTGTATTGAATCTAATTCCCTTGAAGCAATATATGCATTCAACATGGGTCTTATGATGGATCACCCTTCCTTTGACCTCTTACAAGGGGCTTTCAGTTTTGAATCGCCAATGAAAAGTGAGGGTTAATCATGTGGTATAGAGTGTCAATGCTGTTGGAGGAAAGAGGTGAAACGTAACACGAAACACACACTCTTTAGAAGACTAATAAATTGGGATAGTTATTTTCAGAAGTTTTGGTTTGCACAACAAATTGTGCAATATACCTGGTTACTTATATTTGGTTGCACAGGGTTGGATTTGGACTGTGGAAATTATCTAGGCCAATATACAGAAGGGGCAGTGAAGCAAGGGCTTGTGGATGAAGCATCCATCAACAATGCTGTCTCCAACAATTTCGCTACATTGATGCGTCTTGGTTTCTTTGATGGTGATCCAAGCAAGCAGCCTTATGGAAACCTTGGTCCAACGGATGTATGCACTTCAGCGAACCAGGAACTCGCTCGTGAAGCTGCAAGGCAAGGGATTGTGTTGCTTAAAAATAGTCCAGGATCATTGCCTTTCAATGCCAAAGCCATTAAATCATTGGCAGTCATAGGGCCCAATGCTAATGCTACCAGGGTCATGATTGGAAACTATGAAGGTATTAATTAAAATTTCCTACTCCTATATTAGGCCTCGTATGAAAGTCGGGTGCGAAATTTTTTCAGGTCACTGACTGTTACAGTATCAAGATCGTGATTATTCTGACTCTTGTGGGTTAGGGATACATGTGGTAGGACAGAAAAATGTGTAACGTTGGGAACTATGCCAAATTTGGGAAATGTATTAACTGTAGGCAAAATTTAACAAATGGCTTGTTACTATTGTTGAGCACTTTTTTCTCTACCTTGTGTTTAACACCACATTTGATCAGTTCCTGAAATTTTGCAGGCATTCCTTGTAAATATACATCACCTTTGCAAGCCCTAACAGCCTTGGTTCCTACGAGCTATGCTCCTGGCTGTCCGGATGTGCAATGCGCGAATGCGCAGTTAGATGATGCCACAAAGATAGCAGAGTCTGCAGATGCAACAGTGATTGTAGTGGGTGCAAGTCTTGCTATAGAGGCTGAAAGTCTTGACAGAATTAACATTCTTCTACCAGGACAACAACAACTTCTAGTGAGTGAAGTTGCTAATGTTTCCAAGGGACCTGTGATTCTTGTCATAATGTCTGGTGGAGGCATGGATGTGTCCTTTGCTAAAAATAATGATAAAATCTCAAGCATCCTATGGGTTGGTTACCCTGGCGAAGCTGGTGGAGCTGCCATAGCTGATGTGATTTTTGGCTTTTATAATCCCAGTAAGTCATTCACAATTTGTCTCACTTATACATATATAAAAAAGTAAATTACACTAATACTTTCTGAAGTTATTTGATATTGTGTTGATACCATTGTTTTTTTTTTTTTTTTAACGTTTACAGCAACCTTCTTACAAATGTTATGTAATATTTTTTTAAATAATTAAGAAAGTTATTGTAGGGTAAAAAAAGTAGGGAATGTTTGTGTAATCTCATGAAATGATACAACTTTTGGCACTGATGGATGATTTCCTGATGCAGGTGGAAGGCTACCAATGACATGGTATCCACAATCATATGTAGACAAGGTGCCAATGACAAACATGAACATGAGGGCAGATCCTGCTACAGGTTACCCTGGAAGAACATATAGATTCTATAAAGGTGAAACTGTTTTCTCCTTTGGAGATGGAATAAGCTTCTCAAGTGTTGAGCACAAAATAGTTAAAGCACCACAGTTGGTGTCTGTTCCCCTAGCAGAGGATCATGAGTGCCGCTCCTCAGAATGCATGTCACTTGATGTTGCTGATGAGCATTGCCAAAACTTGGCCTTTGATGTTCACCTTGTGGTCAAGAACATGGGCCAAATGAGTAGTAGCCATGTAGTGTTGTTGTTCTTTACTCCTCCTTCTGTGCACAATGCCCCTCAGAAACACTTGTTGGGTTTTGAGAAAGTGCACTTGGCAGGAAAATCAGAAGCACAGGTTAGGTTCAAAGTAGATGTTTGCAAGGATTTGAGTGTGGTTGATGAGCTTGGCAACAGGAAAGTTCCACTGGGACAACATATGCTTCATGTGGGAAACGTGAAGCATCCTTTGGGTGTGAGGATTTGAAAAAAGTCTTTAAATCCTCTGCTCTCATCTTTTTTTTTTTTTTTTTTTTTTTTTTTTTTTAACAAGCTCAAGGTTGCTGCTTGTTGCAAACACTACACAGCCTATGATTTGGATAACTGGAAAGGTGTTCAGCGTTACACCTTCAATGCTGTGGTAATCTACTACATTTGATTAAAACTCAACGAGTTAATGTGATTTCTGTAGAGATGTTAATGCAGAAAAATCATTTTGTCACCCCTTCTTATCTGTTTAATTTGTTAGGTGACACAACAAGATTTGGATGACACATTCCAACCACCTTTTAAGAGCTGTGTGATTGATGGAAATGTTGCTAGTGTCATGTGTTCCTACAACCAGGTTAATGGAATACCAACCTGTGCAGACCCTGACCTCCTTAAGGGGATTATCCGAGGCAAATGGAAATTAAATGGGTATCATTAATTTCTAAATCTTATATACTTAGGCAGGGTTAACGGATCATGTTTGTTAATTTAGTAATTTACAATGATATGAATATTTGGCGTATGCAGATATATAGTTTCTGACTGTGACTCGGTAGAAGTGCTTTTCAAAGATCAGCACTATACCAAGACTCCTGAAGAAGCTGCAGCCCAAACCATTCAGTCAGGTAAGAAAATATGAGAAGACTAATAAATTGGGATAGTTATTTTCAGAAGTTTTGGTTTGCACAACAAATTGTGCAATATACCTGGTTACTTATATTTGGTTGCACAGGGTTGGATTTGGACTGTGGAAATTATCTAGGCCAATATACAGAAGGGGCAGTGAAGCAAGGGCTTGTGGATGAAGCATCCATCAACAATGCTGTCTCCAACAATTTCGCTACATTGATGCGTCTTGGTTTCTTTGATGGTGATCCAAGCAAGCAGCCTTATGGAAACCTTGGTCCAACGGATGTATGCACTTCAGCGAACCAGGAACTCGCTCGTGAAGCTGCAAGGCAAGGGATTGTGTTGCTTAAAAATAGTCCAGGATCATTGCCTTTCAATGCCAAAGCCATTAAATCATTGGCAGTCATAGGGCCCAATGCTAATGCTACCAGGGTCATGATTGGAAACTATGAAGGTATTAATTAAAATTTCCTACTCCTATATTAGGCCTCGTATGAAAGTCGGGTGCGAAATTTTTTCAGGTCACTGACTGTTACAGTATCAAGATCGTGATTATTCTGACTCTTGTGGGTTAGGGATACATGTGGTAGGACAGAAAAATGTGTAACGTTGGGAACTATGCCAAATTTGGGAAATGTATTAACTGTAGGCAAAATTTAACAAATGGCTTGTTACTATTGTTGAGCACTTTTTTCTCTACCTTGTGTTTAACACCACATTTGATCAGTTCCTGAAATTTTGCAGGCATTCCTTGTAAATATACATCACCTTTGCAAGCCCTAACAGCCTTGGTTCCTACGAGCTATGCTCCTGGCTGTCCGGATGTGCAATGCGCGAATGCGCAGTTAGATGATGCCACAAAGATAGCAGAGTCTGCAGATGCAACAGTGATTGTAGTGGGTGCAAGTCTTGCTATAGAGGCTGAAAGTCTTGACAGAATTAACATTCTTCTACCAGGACAACAACAACTTCTAGTGAGTGAAGTTGCTAATGTTTCCAAGGGACCTGTGATTCTTGTCATAATGTCTGGTGGAGGCATGGATGTGTCCTTTGCTAAAAATAATGATAAAATCTCAAGCATCCTATGGGTTGGTTACCCTGGCGAAGCTGGTGGAGCTGCCATAGCTGATGTGATTTTTGGCTTTTATAATCCCAGTAAGTCATTCACAATTTGTCTCACTTATACATATATAAAAAAGTAAATTACACTAATACTTTCTGAAGTTATTTGATATTGTGTTGATACCATTGTTTTTTTTTTTTTTTTAACGTTTACAGCAACCTTCTTACAAATGTTATGTAATATTTTTTTAAATAATTAAGAAAGTTATTGTAGGGTAAAAAAAGTAGGGAATGTTTGTGTAATCTCATGAAATGATACAACTTTTGGCACTGATGGATGATTTCCTGATGCAGGTGGAAGGCTACCAATGACATGGTATCCACAATCATATGTAGACAAGGTGCCAATGACAAACATGAACATGAGGGCAGATCCTGCTACAGGTTACCCTGGAAGAACATATAGATTCTATAAAGGTGAAACTGTTTTCTCCTTTGGAGATGGAATAAGCTTCTCAAGTGTTGAGCACAAAATACTTTTGTTTTCTCTGTGAAGCGCCTTCTGTGCATCTGTTGAGTCTTTAGTGAGCGTTGGATAACCTTCTTCGACGATTTCTGCAACTTCTTGATAACCCAAAATCGCCTTCATCTGCACACGCCACCGATCCCAGTTCTTTCCATTGAGAACGGGAAGATTTGCCGGAAAATTCGTACCCGTTGAACCCATCGTGTGTCTCGAGAACCCCTTGAACGAAACCTTGGCTCTGGATACCACTTTTGTTGGAGGAAAGAGGTGAAATGTAACACGAAACACACACTCACAGAGGCAAGGGAGAGAAAATTATGCTTTCTTATTCAGTGTATTACATTTTAGCACAAGGGTAGTATTTATAATGTTTTAATCACTTCTAACAAATGCTTTAGCTGATTATATGACATGCTTTCTCATGTCAATATTATGGATTTGCCTTGTTCAATGTTCCTCTTATAAAGTGTGTAAACTTGTTGGATTGGATAGTTCAGTTTCTTTTTTGTCATTGGTAGTCCTATTAAGCAAAAAAGAAAAATTACATATAAAAAATTAGAGTTAAATATATAAATCATATTCAAAATTTGTATGAATAGATATTTTTAATCATAAATTATATTTTAGATTTATGATAAATAATTTATATTGTAGTAAAAAATTATTTTTATTCATTGATAAGAAATTAAAAAGAATCTCTAAAAATACTCTAATTAAAAAAAAATCTAAAAACTACTCTCATACAAAATAACTATTTGTGTTTGATATATATGTTTAATAATAAATATATTATCTAATTAAATTAAGTACTTAAAATATTTTAATTATCATAATATAAAGTAGTCTTTAATCTCTTGATGATCTTAATCCATTATTTATTTTATTGCTTATGTGAATATTAAATTATTGGAATTAATAATAAAGATTATAAAATAGATCTAAGTATTTAAAAGCAACAATTTTTTTTTATAAAGTGAAATTAAATAGATATTTATACGAATTTAAAATATATTTAAAATTAAAAATATAAATTTAATTTGAGTTCACAAACATTAATAAAGTTTGTTTTTGATAAATTTTTTTTAAAGATTTAACACTTTTATATTACAAATTGTTATTATTATCTATAACAATTAATAAAAATGATACATTATTTTAGTATCTAGATTATTTTTTTACTCTTTGTATATCTTAACTTATGTACACAACTATCTACTATTAAAGTTAACCACACTACACACTCTTATTTCATTATTTTATTATTATTTTATTTTTTAAAACAAAATAGAAGCACAAAGTGCCATATTTTCATTTTCTCTAGTATATGATAAATTTTTTAATTTCTTTATGATATTTGGTATTTGTTAACAAAATACATACGAGAACTACCATGTTAACATAATATTAATAGAGGTGTAAAAAAATAATATTAATAGAACACATATATATGTATATGTATATATATTTTGCAATTAACTAGAGTGGGTATTTGGTAAATGGCATTCTATCAGATTGGGCCTTATTAATGTTTCTTTTCAAGAAAACAAACCCGGTCCAGCCCATTCTTGCTTGTTTCCTTGTAACCCTAAACCCCAAAGCCATTAAAACGCAGAGCATTGTCATTCGTAGCTTCATTTTCGCGGCGCACAACAAAACCGTGCTTCTTCAGATTCCGATCGCACGCGCCGTCACCATGGTAACCTTTTCAGCCGTTTATTTTCTTCCATTGTTATTGTTTAGCAAGCGGTAACACTGCTATCGCCTTCTCATCTGCCCTAGGCATTTTTTTTCTTCTTCTTATTAGGTCAATTGAACTGTGCCATAGCCCTAGCTAAGTAAATTGGTTTAGAAATTGAGGAATCAGCGTCAATTGTATTAGGTCATGTTTGGTATGCTGAAAAAACGTTAAAGTAATTGTCCTTTTTGGTTATGAACAGGTGAACGTACCAAAGACGAAGAAGACGTACTGCAAGAGCAAGGAGTGCAGGAAGCACACTCTGCACAAGGTTACCCAATATAAGAAGGGTAAGGATAGCATTGCTGCACAGGGAAAACGTCGTTATGATCGCAAACAATCTGGTTATGGTGGACAAACTAAGCCTGTCTTCCACAAGAAGGTAACCCTTTTTTCCTATTTTCATATCTCTTTATGAGCCTATTAATAAGCCCATGTGAACCTTTTTTTTTTCATAATAGAAATAAGGTTTTTAATTTTAACTGAATAGGCTAAGACCACCAAGAAGATTGTCCTGAGGTTGCAATGCCAGGGTTGCAAACATGTCTCCCAACACCCTATTAAGGTTAGTGTATGGGAAGCACTTAGTGTTTTGTGGTTCGGTTTGTTTGTTTTCTGCATGGGGGGTGTGTGGCTAATGGTTTGTTATTATCTTTCATGTTGTGCAGAGATGCAAGCACTTTGAGATTGGTGGTGACAAGAAGGGCAAGGGAACATCTCTGTTTTAGGTTGAGAACTAGGAGTTGCAGCTTTTTATATTTCCGCAATGTTGGAATGTTTTGTTTCTATGAGGATTTTTCTGCTAGTTATATCTTATTATTTGCAATACATTATGTGATTTGAGAAATGAAAACTATTGCTAATATCAGTGAGTACTTGTTTCCCTTCCTTCAATGGTCAGCCATGTCTATTTTATACCTTGATACTACTCTATTGTTCCTGGGTTACCTAGTTATTTGGGGCGTTTTAGGTATGCTCCCTTGTCTCTTGGCTGCACTTTGTTGTTGCTGTTCTTAGATTAGAATAATCAGTGGAAAATACAATTAGAAAGCTGTAGGATTTATATCATCACTAGAATATTTTGGTTGTTGCTTCTAGCTCCTTATATATAGCTATTGGTTTGGAAGAGTTGTGATTAATGCATTAGTTAAACACATAATCCCATGAAGTTCGTATACTACAGATATCGATTGCGCTATTATTTGAAATTTGAACTTCAAAAAAATGAATTATCCATTAATTTGGTCCTTGAAATATTACTCTCTTTCTGAAGTAGTCATTGAACTACTGAAATTATACAATTAGTTCTTAAAGTACTATAAATCATGTTATATAGTCTTTCAAGTATTAAAAAACTCTTCAAATTAGCCTATGTTGGTAAAATATATCAATCAAGTGACTAAATTGATGGATATTGGGTTATTCAATACTTGCATACATAATTTTATCAGTTTAGGGGCTAATTAGGAAAGAAGGTGATACTTTTCCTGTGTTAAATATATTTTTTAATAGAAAATTAAAATTATTGAATGTTCCTCCTTTAGTTTGTGCTCCTTGTGCCTTTGCCTTACACTTGAAGGTAGCTATGGAGGTGAAAGGGTGCGATAATTGCTTATTGATAATGGAAATGGTTCTCTTCCCTGCCATCGTTATTTAAAGTGGCATCCTCTCCATCTCGCCGCCTTCTGCAATCGCAAGATGCCTCTTAAATCTCAATACGAATGGTGTCTACATACGTAAGATCTATTTTTTTTTTTAAATCCCGAATGTTTCAAATCTAAAAAGTTGACAAATTAATGCAGCAAAAGCCGAGTATTGCATCATTAGTGATGCAATGCAATGTTAATATTTGTTAAAATAAGAGGATCGCAAAATGGCTTTCAGAGGCAACTCGTCTGTTGAGGAACTATCCATATTATTTCTAGAATTTTAACTTAATGAATTGTTGGCCTAATTTAAGTGTATTGTTATTTAAAAAAATGTTAAATGGTAGCAACTAATTATATCCCGTGGAGGTAATTGGTGCACCATAGAATACTAGCATTGAGTAAGATGTCCACCCTAGAATTCATCATATAAGAATTCTATCATATTGATGATTTGAGTTAGAATCATAACCACTTTTTGTTGGTGGTGCTGGCCAAGCCAGCATTGTTAGCCTTTCAGCTGAACTCAGTGCATTCAAATATTAAATGAGCTCATAATATAGATATATACTTTAGCCCACAAGTGACGGTGTTTTTAGGAGAATAATTTTAAAAAGCTTTGCTAGATTTTGATGAAACTAGTGGGGGAAGTGAATCTAGTTTCTCTTCAACTAGTTCTAATGTGCCCAATTCTCTTCAATCTTCTATGAACTTATAAGCTTAAAAAACTTGAAAATGATAGATGAGGTGAGAAGGTGAGACATACCACTTAGAAAATATAAGAAAGAATGATGAAGAACTTGTTACAAGGTAGAAATCTTTTATAAAAGTTCATAAAGAGAGAATTTCTCCCACAAAGAGAATTAAGACTTTTGGAAGAGAAAAATTCAAGTTTATTTCTCAAATGTCTTAAAAGTGTTAGACCATGATGTGAAGACAAGTATATATATAAGGTTTGATAGTTTATGGTAAGTTAAATTAACTTAGGTTAAGTGTAACTTAGGTCAAGTTAACTTGAATTTAAGATTATCAATCCTAATAATAAATTCTAAAGTCGATTTTTTTTTTCAAATGTGTCATTATCTTAAATCTACGAAAGTCATAATAGTGTTTTACATATCAAGATAAGAAAAATGTGACTCATGTCACTATCGTAGATCTAGATGAGTCAATGGGGATTGTCTCTTGACATAGTATCTAAAGTTTGATTAGACAAAGTCATGTGACATGTTGACTTATTGAATAACTTATAAGACACTCTTGTCTCCTCCATGTTGGATATGCAACACACTTGCTCAAGCAAGTGGATATCCACTCATGAGACTAAGGGGTGCTCATGAGCCATTCAAACTCAATAGTCAATAAGTTCAAATAGTCTGTTTCTAGTTGCAATCCTCTTACAATACTATTTATGTCCCTAAAATAAAAATTATAAGAAAATAAATTGATATACTACTTAACAAAAAATACAAGGTCAAAAATAAGGAGAATATTTATAAGGAAAAATATTATAAAAAAGAGAAAGTATGCATAAACCAACTTGATAATGAGAAATTATTACAGTATTAAAATTCTTCAAATAAAATTGTTATTGTATCATAAGGATACTCAAGAAATTGAAGATCGTCTAAACAAGTAAAAGGTGGATGACCTTTAGGTGAACAAATGAAAGAATTAATTGCAAGTCAAGAAACTAAACTATTTGGCATCCTCGGCTACAAAGACTTAAGCCATAACATAGTGGACAACGTTGACTTCAAAGTAATTAGGATTAACAAAGATAAACCCATGATTAAGGGTAATATTCCCTTATCACTAATTCAAGACTAAAATTTATTGATACAAAGCTCATCACGATTATCATAAATATTGTCGTATATCAATCTTACTTAAATATTAGACTATCTTTTGTATATATTAATCTCGTTGATATTCTTGCAACTCGAATAATATTCGATAAAATTATAATCATAAGGTGAACCATAACTTTACATTCAATTAATAACTTTAGAATTAATATCTAATAATATTTAGATAAAATTACACTTGTAGTCCTCATTTTATCTCAATTTCATTTATTTTACCACTTTATGAGATATAGTTAGAAGATAATAGTAGAATTTAACATAAATATTAATTACATATTATTTATTGAATGTAAAGTCACAAACAATGTTATAATTTTAATAGTAAAATGATAGAGGTAAAAAAATTAAAATTTTATACAATTGAGATACTAAAATTATGAAATTAAAAATGAAAATCCAAAATCACGTATTAAATATTATAAGGAGATAAAAATTTAATTTAATGATTTTAATATTTGGTATCTTATTCTATAACTATAAAAGTTATAACATTATTGCTTTACCCATACTTCAAGCTAGCTTATTTCTATTTTCATTTTAGTTTTCATAAATTTGTCATTTAACTATATACTTCAATTTTATTTTTGAATACATATTTAGTTTGTTATGAATGTTAATAGACACATATCAATATTAGAATTCCTAATTCTTAAATAAAATCTTTACATGACGTGCAATGCACAGGGTACTCATACTAGTAAGGAAAAAGAGTAGGGACAGGGTCCCATCTAATTAAAAAAAACATGTCCTAGTTAACGATAATAGTTGCCATAGTTTTGTGGATACCCTCCCATGTTAGAATTATTATTGTTATTGGAGTGTAACTTTGCGAGTGCAGCTTGTCCTTGCATGCCATCATGTGCATACTGCTGCCACATCATCTGTTCTTCAATCAAAAATCTCTGTTTCTTCTCCATCTCAGACATTTGCACGTAAGAAGGAGGTGCCACAGCCAATGAAGCTGCAAATGGATCTAAATTTGAGCAAGAGTTAGAATCGGTCCCTGATGTAGGTGGTGCTGGCAATGCCAACATTGCTGGCCTTCCAGCTGAACCAAGTGCCACACTGCTATCACTTCCACTCACACCATATCCTTCTCCTTGCATGGCCCTATTCATTTCCCCTTGTTTATACATGCCATCCAACAACAAGGTGTCAAAACCACCACCATATGTAGGCTTTTGGTTCGCCAAGTTGGTGGCTGATTGCACCAGTGCTGTTTCCCAATCTGCACCATCATCAAATGCATGCCATGGAAGTGCTTGTGTGCCACCACCCGTTCCTGTTGCTGCTGGTGCCTCTCCATCAAACAAAGCCAACGCTAGTTTCTCCCCATATGCTTCATTTGTCACCGTGTCATCTCCCAAATTCAACAAATCACCCTCTGTCTGCACCACCTTTTCTTCCTTCACTTCTTCAACTGGTTCCTCATTCGTCTCCTCTGGTGGTGGCAGTGCCTTCATTTCATTGGTATCCTCTTCTGCTTCTGGCTCTGCTTCTGGTTGCGGCTCCGGCTCTGGCTCGTTATAAACTTCTTCATGTTTATATTCTATTGCTTCAGGTATGTAGCCTTGTGCTAGGGCTGACTTGTCCTTGATGAACTCTTCCATCACCTCTAGCTTCTTCATTGTGACCCTTTCAATCTCGGGGTACTCGGAAGAACGTGCTATTCCAATGTTCTTGGACCATCCGTAGAAGAGGTCTAGCTCATCAAATTGCTTCCCAACACGACAGAAAATGTCGTACACCTTAACACACTCTGATACTTCCATGTCAGGGAAACGATCAACTAAGATACACAGTATTTCTGCAATATCATAATATATCTGAATGCTCTCCTTCACAATCGGGTAGAGAGCCACTGTCACAATTCGGTGGTTCTTTGCCTCTCCTGATGCATTGGAATAATCATGTGATGAGAATATATTCATCATAGTGATGCATGCATGTGATGTACATGAATGAGGATATTTGATTTAGTAAAACATGTTTAATCAAGATGAAAGATAACAATGATGCACTTTGGGTGAAAAAATATGGACAAACTTAAACACAGTTCCATACGTGGTTTTAGTGTTATTTATTAATTAAAATTAGAGTGACATGCATACATAATAAAAGCTTGTATATATAAAAGTTCAACTTATACGTATAATTACGATTACAATGACAAACCTGTGGGGCGGCAAGCTAAAAATCGCTCAAGAAGCAATTGCAAATGCTGCATTTTGGAAAAGATCTGATCTAACTTCATGTCACGTAAAGGTGTGGATCTGACAATGACTTCTTTTTCTTTTTCAATATCCCTTTCCTCCTCCTCCTCATCAAAACTATACATGCTACGTCTTCCACGCCGGCTTTGCATCTTGTACTCAAGCCTTTCATCAAGATACAATGCATACGTGCGCACAAATGCAGAGAAGTCCCACGAACCAGCTTTGGAGTTGTCACGAAAATCAGAAAGGTTCAAAACGCGAGTCCCACGTCGAGTCGAAAAGAAAATTTCCTGCTCATACGCAGGATCACCCTCTACCAACAACCTTTGAATCAAAACAAGTGTTTTCAAAGCCACTGTCCAGCTTTTTGTCTTGTTGAGACGCCTGGCGAGTGTGTTAACACATGCACTTATGAATGCTCGAGAGTAACATGTTAGGCTCAGAATCTCTCTTATGTGCTTCTCTTCAGCAGGGTATTCATCGTGCCTTGTTGCCTTCACAATGGCCACGTCAAGGTCAGCGAGTGAGGTGCTGCTTCCAACCTTGGCTAGGCCTATGCTCGTTTGATCCTTCACTGCCCCAAGGGCTCTTCTGAGTTTGGAGCTTGGAGGCATTTTTTTCTTTTTATTTTCTTCAGGAGTTTGGGACCTCAATGTTCTTAACTTGGCTCAATATGATAAAATGTGTTCAATATTGCTACACTGCAAATTTTATTAAATTAGCTTGTAAGTGTCATCATTTTAACATAGTGTGTTTAAACTATATATGATAACTTTAAATTCTTGCATAAATTTCTAACATGAACTTCGTTATAAACATACTAGGTGTGGGTAAAAAGTTTAAATCTATGAAGATATTTAGTTTCATTAAAAAAACTTGAATAGAAAGGTGAGTATAAGGGATGATGGAAAAGGGGGATTATACCTGTTTGTTGAGCACCAGAGGATAGTAATTAAGATTTCCGAACGGATAGTTATTGTGGTGTAATCACAAATGTTATGGTTTGCGGATTTTTCTGCAAATATAAAGTGTATTTTGTCGATACCTTCTGTTTTTAGACGGAAATGAAAAGAGTTGGACGAGGAACGAAAAGATGGATAGTTGTTTCTATCTGTCTTTGGATTCCTCTTTCTCTTCTGTTCTTCTCTCATGCAAGCATTACAACGTAAGCTCAAATTGGATAAACATTGCCCGTTTTCGTCGCATAAAAACGTGGGAACCAAGGAATTATAATGACATTGATAAATTATGCATTATCCATTAGAAAGGATTTGATTCTAAATCTCTAATGATGACATTCCTGGCTTTGCTATATTTGGTAGGAGAAATGTTTAGCTTTATAGATTTTTTTCACCCTTTGACCCTTTCAACGCGAAGGTAACCAACAAAAGTTTTTTAGAGGATGTTAAAATTTCTAACTTTTTTTATAAAATTTTTCACAATCCAATTATTTATCATATCGAAATAACTTTTCTAATTGAGAGTGAAAAAGACAATTTCACGTCATATCATCATATTCATTTTAACTTTTCTAATTGGGGGTAGAAAAGAAAGTTTCACATCATATCATCATATTCATTTTACTACGTTAGATGCCTAGATCTCCATTTATGTGTTTGAATTACACAATAACAATCTATGTAATGAAGCATGAATATATAAATAACATAAGCCTTCTCCCTAGGATTGGAAATGAGTTGAGGTGAGATGAGTTCAGTTTAATTAGACTTAACTCAATTCGATAACACGACTCAACTTCTAACTCGACTTGAGCTTAATATATTTTTTCTTCAATTCAAGTTTATAAGTAACTCATTAGCTCGAATCAAACAAACCAAGACTCAATTTTTTAAATCTTAAACATTTTAAATTTTTAATTTAATAATAGATTTTAAATTATTTAAACCCGCACATGACAAGTCTTCTGCTTGTCATAACACAATAAAACCCTAAACAGTTAATTCCTAACGACCAGTAAGAATCTCAACATGGATACCCCTTAATATTGTATTCTGGCACATAATTATCACACAATATAATCTTTACTTATCTAAAATAATATATTTGCTAATTAATGACAATATCCCTACACAATCACAAGAAGATATTTTCAAGATATCATGCAACACTATCAAACATGTATATGGGGCACCAAATATCATACTACCCAAACCTAATTCTTCACCTAAACTCCCCTCTAACTTAAGTATCAGAGTGTCTTTTAAAGTAGTCCCCCACCCTGTCTCAGACAATGGAGCAAGGACGTCGAATCACCTTGGAAGCACTTGTAAGATTCTAGTAAGAACATTTAGCGTCCATCATGAGGCCAGAGTGAAACTATTATTTGACCACACATGACTTCCACCCAAGACCAAGTAATGAAAGGCAATGTAGCCTTCATACACACCATCACCAGTGGATTTATCGATGATGGCCTCTCCAACTTGTCACGAAAGAAACATCTCAAGGCCCTCGATAGTATGGTCGTCACACATAATAAAACGTTTAGATCGCTACCCCCTATTACTTTCACTGACGACAATTTTTCATGGATAGAGACCACGACAATGTTGTGGTCATCTCAGTCCAAGTTGTCAATTGGGAAGTACAAAAAAACTCTTGTAAACTAAGGAGGCTCGACTAACATCTTGTATTGGAGAACTTTCTTCCAGATGCAACTACCCCAAAATATTATCAAGTCGCATAGCAAATCCTTGTTGGGATTCACGGGTCACGCAATCAACGCACAAGACTACGTAGAACTCTTGGCTAAATTCGAGGAAGACGAACACACCAAGTCAGTGCATGTCAAATATTTACTATTATAGGACAACCCATCCTCAGCACCCTAGGCACGATGATCTCCACACTCCACCTCGTCGTCAAATTCCCAACTAAAAACAACATTATAACCACAATCTGAGGTGATCATCGCATAACAAAGCATTTTTTTTTTTTAATGAAGTTTGAACCTACAAGTTCTCAAGAATAAATTTTAATAACACACTCATATACTCTTTTAACACACTCAAATACTTTTTTAACACACTTTATTATTAACTTAAATTTATTGATAATTACAAAATTTTGCAAGTCTTACATTTAATAAATCCTATTGATTTTGTAATTTTTAATTAATTTTAATTTATTATAAAGACTGTAAAAGTGTGTATTAGAAACTGTGTTCCTCCATCAATCCTTTGAAATTAAAAAATTATACTATGAAGATCTCATTAAATGTGAAGCATTCTGTTCCTAGCAGGATGAAAACTTCAAAAGTTGAAGATATCACCTTAGGCTACAGAAGAACTACTGAAAAACTCCCATATATCGTAATGCTACCAATAAAAAATGATACAACTTCTAAAATATTGCATTCACCTAGAGTCTTATCCATCTAAAATCCTACCTGAACATTTATAAGGTTGCCCAGAAGGCTATTGCAATGTAAAGTCTGAAATATTTCCCAAGACATTAAAACAAGTAAAAGATTTGATAGATCATACAATCCAACTTAGATTGGATAGATAAAATCAAGAGAAAAATTGTGAACCGGTGCAATATGAAAAACTGCTTCCAGCATTATAGAAAGCACTGTATAGCTTATCATTTTCATCAATGAAATTATTAGTAATACCTTCTTAACATTATTCTGTTGTTTCCAGTCTACATAGCTATATGTTTCTTTTAGAAGAACTTTATTCATTTATCCATAGCTCAAACAGAAAGCAGAAGAGCAAATAAGGTGATGCTTGCAAACAAGAATTGATATGCAATCCAAAAAACCGAGTTCTAAATCCTAACTCAATATAAATTCTTTCTAACAGCTTTTGGGCTTGCTACCTAGATTTGGTTTCAAACTAGATTTTCTCCTACTATACTTTAAGAAATAGCTATCCTTGCATCGTTGTTCTTCCCTATGCAATGCAGAATCTGCTTGTTTGAGATTAAGTTCCCCGCCACTATCTTCAGTGAAGTTTATCGGCCGACAAGAACAGCTTCCCTCCCCTTCCTTCACCAGCTCTTCTCCATCTTTTGAACCAGTTTCCATGTCACTTAAGCCAATGCAGAGAAGATTCAGATCAGTTGAAGAACCACTATCCAGAGATCCTACAGAAACCGAAGGCTCGCATAAAGATTTACAAGTATCATTATGTTGATGACCACCACCATCATTCCTTGAGTTGACACTAGAAGTAGAAGCACCCGTCTTTGGAGCATCCGAGTAACTTATGCAGCAACTCTTGGGCAAGCTATTCAAATGTGGATGCAACTCGAATGTCAACTCAGAACCATCAAGAACTTTAACAGCATCAATCTTGGAAGGCTCTTCCCTATTTGCTACTAAAGTCTTGGTTGCCCCCTCTCTAGCCCTAGCAGCAACCTCAACATTCTCCTCCATTGACTGCAAAGCCCTAGAATTCCCCTTCTCTAACATACCGCTACCATTTTCCCCACCCTTAAGTCTTGATTTTCTTCTTCTTGAAATTGCGACGTGTTTAGGAATCCAACAATCGACACAGACAGAAAAGTCAGGAGCATAGGACCACGGAGGGGCGTTTCTGTACTTGAAGAAACAAGATTTGTGCACAGAATGGTGACACTGACTGCAACGAAATGATTCGGGAGACGCTCCGGAAAAACAATAGGAGCAAATTTGGGAAGATTGGACTGAAGAAAAGCACTTTTTGCAAAGAAGAAGAACGCGCCATTCGCTATAAAGGAGTCGGAGTGTGTTCTTACCTGTACAGAGGTCGAATTTGAAACCACAAGCGTGACATTGGGTTAAGTTGGGCAAATCCCTAGTTTTCTTCTGCAGAGGCTTTTCCGCTGACTCTTCCCCTGCCTCTGTTCGCTTCTTCGATTCCACGACCTTCATCGCCCACTCAACCTTTTTTTAATTCCTCTTGCCAAATCTTTCCACTAAATCTCCTATTTATTATTAGATGGACAATATTATTCAGAATTCTTTTTTATAAAGTATTAAAATTATTTAAAAAGAAAGAAATGTTAGATAGTATGATATTACTGAATAAAAAAATTAGGATCGTTCTTGAAAATAAGAGAGGTGAGATAAATTTTAAGCACTAGTTAAGATGAAATTAAAATTAAAGTGCTTATTTACAAAAATGATAAAACTTAAAAATCAGTTATAACACAATTAAAACTTATGGGGTCTATTTGTTAATAAGATAAATTAAGATAAAATTAAAGTACCTATTTGTAAAAGTGGTAACATTTAAGAGAATTAAGCTTTTTTCTTTATTTTTGATATAAAAGATGAGGGAGTATAATTTTATAGATCGAAGTCTCACATTCGAAATATTGAGTTGTTGTTGGCAGCGTATAATTGTTAGTGTCTCTACTCATGCAAGGAAGGAGATCTAGATACTAAACCTTGTATCAAAGGTGAATACAAGTGAGTGAAATGTAACTCTAATTTTAATTGAAAATAAAAAATATGGCTGAATCTAAGTTTTTATAAAATATTCATATATTCATATTCATTTTATCGGTTAGGATACTCATTCACGCATTGAATCACAATAACAATAGATATAATGAAGGGGGAAAATATATAAATATATATATATATATAATAAAAATAAGATAACCAGATCGAAATCACACATTTTATTATAAATATATGATCAATTGTTCAGTACATATTTAGTTCAATTGAATGCTGAGCACACACGTCTAATCTCTCCAAGAAAACCTGTCTTGACACCAATTTGTCCCATATTCACAACAGACTCAACAAAATCAGCCTCAAAAGAAGGTTCAAACAATGGACCAAAGGGTGAAAAGTATGAGTCAATGACATTCTTAGTGGCTATGTCATCATTGAGCCTGGCATCAGATTCTAGCACAGCAAAACCTTCCCTTATGTTCTTCAGAATGTTTACGTCAAATTTATGCTCACTCCCTTCGTCCATGGCTAACCGAACGTTAACGTCTCCATTCACAGGGCACCTTGCCTTTAACTTTGGAAGAAAGTTTGGACTAATTGCTGGGTCTGATCCTCCACCACCTGGGAAAAAGTTGTACAGTCTTCTAGTCATAAAGAAGCACGCTGTAGATCCAATAGTATGTGCACCTGAAATATTATATATTTTTGCACAGGAATGTAACATGTCAACATTGTTAAAAATAAATAAATAATAATTAGTCATTTAAGTTTTATAATCATCAATGAATTAATTTAATCTTTTTAATTACCAAGCACCAGTATAATCTAATAGAAGACACATTGTCACTTAATAATTAAGTTTTTTCTTCTTATATAAGAAAAAGACTAGTTTACTAGTAATGCCAAATTAATAATGTGTTGGTATGAAAACACGTTTTCTCTTCTTGCTTATTACGTTAACTTATATTTTTCACTTTCGTGAGCTTCTACTAGCAACTTTTCCATAAATCCAGTAAATAGGTTCTTCATCCATTCTCACAAGAAAGTGAGAAAAATAACAAATAAGAGAAAGAGACAAACAAACAGATAGTATCTCTATCAATATGGATTACAACTGTAACGCTGCATGTGCACCATTTGTAATATAAGACCTGCCATCTGCCACGAAACTTTAGGCAGTCAATGAATTAGGTGAAACCAAACCAATGGAACGAAAGCTAGCGCACATAGTAATTATTGTTACCATATTTTAAACTTTTTATCAGTAAAATATATCACCTAATTTTTTTTAGCAACTGCGCGTATTATAAATATTCATTATTACTAAACAACAAAAACAACGACATACAACCGATCGAATTTGATACAAATTTGTGAATTGAATCAAAGGTTTATCAGGTATCACACGCATACACATTTATCAAATAGATAATCTGGTAGATCCTTCTAACAAACATTATCCTAAATGATTAAATGAAACATATGGCACTGTTCAGAATCCTAGGTACGTACTAAGACCCCTGTTACTTTATAATTTTGTTAGGCCTGTATCATGCACAATAAATAAAAAAAGCAGTCACTAAGTCAGCGTTTCTTGAATCCGGAAAAGTTGTCTAAATCGGAAGAGATTTGTTAAAATATGGCTTCATACCAAATACAATAATATATTTATTTTCTTGTTCCATCACACTCATCTCTCACACTTTATCTTTCTTCTTTTCATACTTGTCATATCTGTGAAAAAAGTATCATAAATTCCTTATATAATTAGAATTTCTCTTCGAATAATTCTCTCAGGACTTCACCGTCAATTTCTCAAATTGGGTAGAAAACTTCTTCATTGCTTTCATTGTATTTTAAAGAGGAGTGTATGTAACTATAAATAAAATAGATTTATCTCATATTAATTGCATGTCTTGTTGTAATTCGCTTTCCTTCGGCCATGGTTCATATTACTTTACCTCTTCAACAACCATGATCTCACCTAATCGGCATGACAAAGATATGTGTGTTTGTTTATTTGTGTAAGTTGTGTGGGAGAGAGAGAGAGAGAGAGAGTACATACCACTGAGAAGAACAAGGTCTTTCACTGTGAGGCCCTTGTTCATAAACTTGGTCTTGAGTAGCTGAATTGAATCACTAACATCTGGCATGTCATCTGCTAGCGAAACATTGGAAACCAACCCATCTCTTCGCCCTGTTGGAACTTGATATGATGGTCCATTTGCCTACATATATATAAAATATATGGAAGTACCATCAAATGTTTTTCCAAACATAAACATGGTGTAGCAGCTAATTAAATTGCAAGCACGAACACTTGAATCAACGATAACCATTCAATCTCTATGATAGAGATATGAGCATGCAATAAGAGAAAAAGCATCAAGTTAAATAGAAAGGAGATAATTAGGACCATGACTATGGCATCTCTGGCTGCCAATGCCACTGTGTCTGCACAAGAAACCACGCCGGGGCAAGACCCTTCCAACTGTGCCTTGGCTCTTTCTATCACTTCAAACCCTCTAACCCCTTGATGTCCAAATGCATGTCTCTCAGATTGTGGACCATTGTCGATCAGAATCGAACCATCACATCCCTGAAATGATCCAATCCATGCATGTCACCGAATATATAAAAACAAAAGATAGTGAAAAGAAATATTAACATATAATTTATATTGTTAATTCGTATACAAATACATGCCTCAACAAAGCAGTCATGAAAATGAAGTCTGAGCAAGACAGCAGCCATGTTGGGGTCAGAGAGAACAGCGTCTCTAACAATGGCATTGACAATGGAGTCTACTTGAGGACATGTGTTGGAGTAGAAACCCACTTGAAGCTGACCCTCAGAACCCCCAATAAAGAATGAGAAGAATAAGAGAGACAAAACAACGGGCACCATCACTGCAAGTGCAACAGAACTATATGAAATATAAGCTAGCAGTAACAGTAGCACACTAACATATATATATATATATATATTAATAGATATATGTCTACTCTACCCAAATGGTAATTTTAAAGTGATCGATGCTTGCTATAGTGTTTGGAAGAAGAGGTGAAGATTGAATAAATATCAAGCAGCAGGTGGTGGGGCTGGAATTAATAAATAGACATAGTAATTTAGATTGCAGACGGCATCTTGCAATTTAGTTGGCGACGTGTCAACTGCGAGTGCATGAGTCTTGTGATGTCCCTTCTTTTCCTTTTGTTCACTTTCCCAAGTCAATTCTGCATCGCGCTTTGATTTTGATTTCTCTTTTTCTATCAAGAACTGCAAGAGTCAGCTTCACGCACTTCAACCTCTATTTTCCAATTACAATTTTTATTTGGAAACACTTCTTCATTGCTTTCATTGTAGTAATAAATTGCATATTAAAGTTTTTTCTTCAACATTCAGCGTAATAAAAGATCTATTTAAAAAGCCAATCATTCAAAGCATACAAACATCTATTTTAAAAGTTAATATTTGTCAATAAATTATTTTTTTATGCACATCGATTAAAAAAAAATCCTTAATCATATATTTAAAGAATAAAATTATCTCTTAATCAAGTCTAGATATACTCCTGTTTAACAATTATTTATTCCTTCTTCATAATTATTCTTGTTAAATATATTAAATGAAAGTCTTTTGAACTTAATATATTAGTATTTAATTTTTAAAAAAAATACATAAAAATCTTTTAATATTAAAATTATGGTTCAGAGGGAGAAATTATTAAGTAAAATTTAATTTTAATTAAAAATTTGGTACAGTAGGAAATTAAACGGCGAAAACAGAAAGGAAACTAAATTACGTAAAGTGAATCAAGTTCCAAAGTTTCTAAAGCAAACTCAGGATGTTTGTCCTCATGTTGTGAATGTTGACACATTTGTAACTTCTCATCAGCTGTATTGTTGGCTTCTCTAACAACTACTTTAAACTCCACGAACTTCTCAATGGCTCTTATCGCATTGATGCAGTCGGATTCACAGGACACCAAGCTCCTCCTCAATTCTCAGCAGTTAAATAAACCATGTTTAGTGGCCAAAAGCTCAGCTCAGAAGGAATCTCCTCCATTACCCTGACCTGCAAAGCCTGAAATTCACTGGTCATTTCCCATATTCTTTTTGAGAAGGAATACTTTATTTTCTGTAGATGAGACAGCAATTAAAAGTCCCCCCAAATTTATTGAATATGTGAATAAATCTTTTATTACTTGAAGTCGTTAAAATTTAGAAGAAAAAAAATATTCCAACAAAAAAGTCCACCCAAATTAAAGACAATTTAGTATATTATATTGCATCATCAAGCTATTGAAATTTCACTTAACCATGTTGAGATTCCTATCCATACAAAACCAAGCAAAAAGTTGAAGGCAAAATTCAATGGCCCCGCGCAGCTGTGTTGGGAGCTAATGATGGGTTGATCTCAGTTGCATCAATGATGATGGGTGTTGGAGTTGTTAAGGAAAATATCACATTCACAGCCATGCTTCTTGCTGGCTTTGCAGGCTTAAATGTTGGGGCTTGTAGCATGGCAATTGGAGAGTTTGTCTCTGTGTACGCTCAGTATGAGATAGAGATGAGTCAAATTAAAAGAGATAAAGATAAGAATAATGGTATAGTGGTTGAAGAAGCTCAAAGAGAGAAACTTCCAAATCCATTTGAGGCTGCTGTAGCATCAGCACTAGCATTTTCTGTTGGTGTTGCGGTACCACTGCTTGCAACTGCATTCATAAAGAACCATAACATGTTGCTGTGGCTAGTGTGGCATTGTTGGTATTTGGAGCAGTGCTTGGAAAAACTTGTGTCACCAAATCCTGTGTTAGATGGCTATGGCCATAACATTTGGCCTCACCAGGATATTCGGCTTTGCCGAATGAGATGCATTACTTTACTTTAAGTTGAAAATTTATTTTTTTTTCATATTTTCTTTTGAGTACTTTTATGTGAATATTTTTTTATCCAAATAAGCTCAAATAATGTCTTCGGGAGATTTAGTATACATTATAATTAGTTAAAGAAATGATAATTTCCTTTCAAATTAAGGGTTAAAGAAAAATCACAACAAAATTAAAAAAGTATTACGACAATTCTTCGAATTTTTTACCTAAATATTATTTTTTTTAAAAAAAAATACTCAAATTTCTTTAACGTCGTTTGGACATTTTTCATGTAGAAAAAAATAAAAATATGATAATTTTTCACGTGGCAAGGGTCCCATACGTATGTCATGTGTTAATTTTGCATCTAGAACGGCTCATTCTGGAAGCTGCAAAGTCGTACAAGACCCAATCAGGCTTAGAGGTTTTGAGCAACTCGGATACATCATCTTGGAGGCCCTCGTAAGCCTTCTTGAGGAAACAGTTCTTGGTAGTGGGAATGTCCATCGTGCTCTCTGCACCTTCTGGGAGTTGCTCTATGTGTGGTAAGGGGAGTCCCACCAGTTTGATGAATGGTTCTAAGCTTTTGGGGGTTTTGGGCATGCGATCAATGTTTTTGGGGGTGCTTATGAAGGTCACATACTGACCCTTTTGAGCAAGAATCTTGGCCACCTCGAAGTACGGGTATATGTGACCCATCGCCAGCCATGGGAGCATGGCAACGTGAAGACCCTTATCCATTTTGCCATTGCCATTACATGAAACTGAATCCATGAGGACTGCTGTTTTTGTTTCAGTTGCCAATGCTAGATTGTCATATAAATACTTGCTAAGGATGCACATCTCAAGTAAAGTGACACTTATGCGTGGTCCGAATGTTCATATTTTTTTATTTAATCCAAGAAAACATAAAGATAATCAATTTTATTAGAGAGAATCTTTCTAATTTTTTCAGGTTATATTAATCCTTCCCTTAATTTTAATTCGATACTTTTGTTGTTAAAATGTCTAATTTTATCAATATTAGATTTCATTCTCGTTAAGTTTTGAATTTGAGTTTTACACACACATATATATAATGTGATTAAAAGAAGAAATTTCATTAAAAAAATTAATCAAAATTTTCAACAGAATTTATTAATAAATTAAGTTAATAGATATTTTATACCATAACATAATTAAAATGATGATCTGATTTAACTTCTTAATTTTTTAAAATGATGTAACTTGATATTTTTTGTTCAACAGAATTGCAACCTTGCGTGCACCACGCACCTAATATAATAATATTATAATTCATTGTCTCGTTACCTTTAGTGATTCAAATATTATTATATAATACATAATGAAACAAAAAAAATCTTACCAGTGCCACGCGAACCACGCAGCTGTTATTTTATTTCCAAAATCTGTAATCTTTGAATTAGGGTGGATATCCGTGGGATGCGAAAATGAATATTTTTTTTTTCCTCCCTGGAGTATACACTGTCCATAGCAGTGACTAATCTTCTCAAAGGATGGGATAGCTGGCTCTAAGATTTAACGCGACTGTATACACAAGGTAGGATTCGAATCCCTGACCTTACTTAAGTGTGAATCAACCCTTATCGCTGAACCACACATTTGGGATTGCACCAATGAATATATAAATGTATAGGATAAAATTTTATAATATTAAAAGTATTTTATTATTGCATGAAATTATAAAATTTAATAATTATAAAATAAGCATCCAAATAAGAAGAGTATAAAATTTGTATGTAAAGTAAATGTGATATAATTATATATATTTCACATATGAATGTATGAAGTGAGTTAATAATTTGAACTCAAAGATTATATAATAATGATTAGAATTTTATATTAGAGTGATATTACTTTATTATACAATAAATGTAATTATGATAAGTTTAGTAGCAACATTTTCTCTTTCGTCATAATTATTTTTTAATAACATTTTTTAAAATCATGTATAAATTACTTTGTAACAAAGATAATTCTTGCAAGTTAATATTTTTTTACATGTTAAAACAGTTTTATAATTAATCTTTTAACATAGGCTCAAATTTATATTTATTTGAATAAATATTTTAAGTTAATCACTTTGTAAGGGAATGTTTTAGGTAGATTTATATAAAGAAAATTTGATTATAAGCTTTGTGTTTGAGAGTGTAAGCTGATTGAATTCAGTCGAGTTTGGATGAATCCGTTACTTATTTAATCAAAATTTAATATGTTGAATTGGACTGAGTTTATGTATTTTTCTTTTAAATCCAACCCAATTCAGCTCGTGAATAAGTTGGATTAGATTGGGTCAATCATGTCAATATAATTAAATTTATCTCTTAATAAAAATTTAAACATTTTATATAGATATAAATTATTTGATATCTTATTATAAGTATAAATTGTGTAATGTTATCAGTTGATAGAACAAATAATAATACAAACTAAATTTTAAAATAAACTTATTAATTAGTACATTGTTATTGACTAAAAAAATTAAAATTGATTTAAAATAAATATGTTGCATTATTAAAATGTTATTAACCTAAAAGTAAGAATGATAAAAATATTATCTTGAATAAGTGTATTAATTAGTACATTGTTATTAACTAAAAAAATTAAAATTGATTTAAAATAAATATGTTGCATTATTAAAATATTATTAACCTAAAAGTAAGAATGATAAAAATATTATATTGAATAAGTGTATTAATTAGTACATTGTTATCAACTAAAAAAAATAAAATTGATTTAAAATAACTCATAATTTTTATTTTTATTTCTCTTTAATATCATATATTTCTTTTTCCTACATGTACACACAGATGATAAGCAACTTATAAGAATAAGCAACTCTATTTAATTTTAAGCAACTCAAAATTATATATATGTGACATATAGAAAATAACATTGTATTATTAAGGAATTTCCATTAGAGATCTTCTAATGATATTTGTTGAATTTTAACAATCTAATAATTAAATTAAAAGTGTTTATTGAATAGATATAATATATAATATATTTTTATAAGTACAAGTTAATTTGAATTTATGTAATAAAATATGAAGTATTTTTAAAATTTTGTAAAAAATTATAAATTTCATCTATTATGATAAATTTTTAAGTTAATAATTAAATTATTAAAATTTAATATATATTTTAAATTATTGTAACAACAGTTATTCTTGAAAATATTATTCTCAACATATATACATAAGCATTATTAAAGATGTTTATAAAATGATCCAATATTTAATAAATTACAAAAATCAAATAAATTATTTTTTTAATAAATCTGACTAGAAATGTTAATATTATTTTAACTATTAATTTATAACTCAAATTTTATGTTTTTGAAGGATGTATCACCGATAACTTTTGGGTTTATAAAAGAAGTTAAATTGGTTAATTTTAATTAATAATGTTATAAAATTTAAATATATTTAATAAGATATTCACAGAATTAAACGATTTAAGTGATGATATTACTCAACAATTTAAGAGACTATTTTTTAACTAACGAGTGTAACTTAGTACGTGTTTGATTAAAATTTAGTATAATTGGTAAAGTCTCGTTCAACCTAAAATTACCCTTTCTAGCTTCCAAAATTTACATCAAAAGCACAAGCTCAAAGGAGAAGTCACAAAATCAATGTGGAACCAAATAGACTCTTATACTATAAAATCCCTAATAAGTGTTTTATTAATAAATATTAGGTTAAAAATTTAATTTGGTCTTTTATAATATTTTAAAATTTTAATTTAGTTTCATTTTAAACTTTAGTTTCAATTTGGTCCCTAATAATTTAAATTACTGCAATGTTGGACTTCCATTCAAATTTCTTTAACGTCGTTTGGACATTTTTCATGTAGAAAAAAATAAAAATATGATAATTTTTCACGTGGCAAGGGTCCCATACGTATGTCATGTGTTAATTTTGCATCTAGAACGGCTCATTCTGCTTGTACTTGTTGTGTGTTAATTGTGCATCTGGGACGGGCAATTCTTCTGCACTTTCAAATATATATAATTCAATAAAAGAAATGCATGTGTGTATGAATTTTTCTTATTAAAAATAATAAGGAAGATTTGTGTCATTCATTAATTATAACACTTACAAAAAATTTAGAAGAAAAAAAACAATTTGTTTTAACTTTGATGAGTGTGTTATATATGTTTGAGGAATTAAGGATGCTTAAACTACTAAATGAATTTTCAAAAAAGAAAAAACTAACTTTAACTGATATGTAATTAGAACGGTTATATTTATGATTTAACATGATAAAAAAAAATTAAAAATTAAATATATTTTAAATTTTTAAATTTTTGTCAATTTTTATTTTTAGTCCTGAACAAATTTTTTTTTATAACTTTTATTTTCTTAAATTTTATTAATTTTCACTTTTAGTCCTTGAATTTTTTTTGTCAACATTTTGGTTTCTATCAACAAATTTTTTTGCTTATGTGGAAAATGTTTAGGAACTAAAATTAAATAAAATTTGTTCAAAAACTAAAAACAAAAATTCAAAAACTAAAAACATACTTAATCCTAAAAAGAATATCATTTTCAAGTTGAATACTTAAAAAATTTTGAAAAGGATAATTTTACTTGCAAGCACGGATCACTTTGCATTTTAGCTACATCACATCTAACTTCTAGAATAACTATACTTTGTTATACCTATTTAATTGAAATATTCCGAAATAATATTCACAGTTTTTGTTATAAAAATATTATGAATTATTATTCAACGATTTTTTTTTTGTACACTATTTCATGAATTTGAAACAATAATAACGGGGACACAGTAAATTTAGTTTAAAGCCTTTCATGTCGTAGGCATGATTGAGTGATGATAAATAACTACCGAGTTTAATCTAGTAGTAAGAGTTTAATATATATATAAAATTATGTTTAAATATAGTTATCGATTAAAAATACTGATAAAAATCATTGTAATACTTGTAAATAAATAATAATTAAAGACAGAGATTTCGAAGTCGAAATAAATCAATGGTTATTCCCTTGTAATGTTTGAATTTGAATATATATATATATATATATATA